ACTCTGCTGTTTAGGTGAAATGTTTCTAAAAATAAACCAGGAACAAATTCCAGAAGCTTAGTTGTGTCAGTCCAGGGCTTTCCCAACCTTGTTGAACCCATAGGCACACCACAGCAAAATGGATACCATTGTGGGGGGACAAAGTGGCTACCAAAGGGACTGTGTCAAATGTTTTGAGGTTCTACAAAACGTTAGGATGTTCCAGCCTGAGCCTCTTCCTATCATGGAGGCGACTGTTTCTCATCAAGGAGCCAGTTTGGTGTAGTGGTTAAGTGCACAGACTCTAATCTGGGAGAACCGGGTTTGATTCCCTACTCCTCCACTTGCACCAGCTGGATGACTTTGGGCAAGCCGTAGTTCTGTCAGACCTGTTCTCTCAAGGGCAGTTCTGGAAAGCACTCTCTCAGCCCCACCCACCTCACAGGGTGTCTTTTGTGGGGAGGAGAAGGGAAAGGAGTTTGTAAGCCGCTCTGAGACTCCAAGTGAAGGGCGGGGTATAAATCCAATCTCTTCTTCTTCATCATCAGCCGATGCCACGGTGCTCATGGGCACCACATTGTGGATCATTGTGTTAGTCTGTTGTGGCTCCCTAAAGCTGTATAAGTTTGTGCCAGAAGACAGGCCTGACCTGGCCTCTTTTCCTTCCTACCTGTGTCACTTCAGTATTGTGGATCACTCCTGCCTGCTTTTCCCTCATTATTGGTGGCAAGAGCCAAAGAGCAGTCCTGAGAGACCCAGCTTTTGAGAGGTGCCGCCTGTGAACTGAGATGCAAACTGAAGTATGGTTTCCTTCCACACTGAAGGTTCTGCTCCCCCATGTTAACATGCTCATGCGGGAGTTGGAGTGCAAACAGCTTCCCAGCCAGCTTTGGCAGCACCATTTCCCTCTTTTTCCCCTTTTTTCTGAAAGCTGCTCATTCTGTTTGTGCATCTGTTGGAGTACGACATAAAACTAGGAGCCTCAAGAGAGACAAGCTGGCCTGTGAACTTCTCAAAGCAAACTGATAAATTCTCCCACTTCTCCTCACAAGCATTCTTAGAGTACACTTTCAGCCCCAGAGGTTAATTCCTAAGTATAAATTTTGCCAAAATGCAGGGTTAAATTGACTAGTGTTAGAATTGCTGGGACCAGAAAACACTTCTAGCTTTTTAGGAGTTTTTCAGAAAAGTACATGGGGAACTGACTGGGTAGCACAGATAATACTGATTATTTAATCTTGATAATTTCTTTATTGACCTCATTAAAGAAAAACACATACATAATTAATTTTTGAGTTACAAATTGATTTGATACAAGCATTGGCTGTAGAAGAGGCTCACGATACCTGTTAAGGAATCATAAGTACAATATAGTCATTCGTGTTGGTCTAGGATCTGGGAGACCCAGGTTTGAATCACACTGCCACAGAAGCTTGCTGGCTGACCTTGGGCCAGTTATGCCCACTCAGCCTGACCTACCTTCCAGGGTTGTTGTGAGGAAAAAATGGAGGAGAGGAGAATGCTGTAAGCCACTTTTGGTCCCCCTTGGGAAGCAAGGTGGGGTATATATGAAGTCCGTAAATAAAAATAAATATATTAAGCCCAACCGAGCAGAGATTGAGCCTTTCTTTAATGGCATGCCTTTTGTAATAGGCCGCTTCGCCGCAGCAGAGGGAGATGATGGAGCAGGCTGCTGCCCAGCTGGCTCAGGATAACTGCGAGCTGGCATGCTGCTTCATTCAGAAGATGGCTGTCGAGAAGGCAGGCCCTGAAATGGACAAGCGGCTGGCCACTGTAAGTGAGGAGTGCCTGGGAATTACCACTTTAAAAGCCCAACTCTATCCGATTAAATCAAGGTAACCTTTTAATTTTATTTTGGCAGGAATTTGAGTTGAGAAAACACGCCAGACAAGAAGGTCGTAGATACTGTGATCCTGTAGTACTGACTTACCAGGCTGAGCGGATGCCGGAACAGATTAGGTTAAAGGTAAGAAGTGGTTCAGAGGTTTACGGGTGATGGTTTCTACTGTCAAAATTAGGATAAGTTTCTCAATATCGGCCGTAAAATTCAAATGCTTTCCCTCTCCAAAGAGTCCAAAGAGTGCTTAAGCAATTCATTGAGTAAGAATGGAATATTGGAGTTACTTTCCATGTGGTCTATTATTAGGGAATTGTAATCATTTTAATGTTTTAAATGTCTTATTATATCGTTAAATGTTTTTGCTGATTTTATGTAAGCCGCCCTGAGCCGGTTTAGGCTGGGAGGGCGGGGTATAAATTTGAACAAATAAATAAATAATAAATATTGTATGTGGATAGAAAGGTTTGTTTTTCTGGCTCCTTAGCTGCCAAGAAAAAAAAAGGCTATGCAAGTCTTGTATCAGGAACATCTTGGCCTGACCTCCCAGTAAGCTGTCTGCAACCCCGAAAGACATTGTATTTAAATAAAAAGCAATCACTGCCTAGAGAGCAATGAGGCAAAACTAAACTTTTGGATTTGAGGGTTGAACTCATAGAAGGAAGCACTCGATAGGAACAGCACTTATACAGGGATGGCTCCTGCAACTAGTGGTGTGTGAGGTGAGGAGCTGTGATCCAGTGGTAGAGCAGCTCCTTGGGATGCAGAAGGTCCCAAGTGCAATCTCCAGCACCTCATTAAAAAGGATCAGGTATCAGACCTCTGCTTGAGACCCCTGCGGGTCATTGCCCCTCAGAGTAGACAGTACTGACACTAATGGACCAATGGGCTGATTCTGTATAGGGCAGCTTCATATGTGTTCATGTGATGGCAAATATTCACCTTTGTTAGAGTATCCTCATGCCATCTGAATTATCCTTCTCACATTTATAGCACTTAATGCTTGTTGTGGCTGAGGCCCTTGGTCAGGCTGATAAAAGGAAAGCATTTACAACAGTGACTAGCAAATTTTTCTTTTTCTAATGGTAGCCAAGAAGCTGCCCCATGTGGAAGGCCAAATCTATGCAGTGGGGTTAGTCCACATGCCAGGTTTTGCAGGCCAAAATGGCACATGGTGCGGCTGGATAGACACTTGTCACGGATGCTCTAGGCTGATCCTGCATTGAGCAGGGGGTTGGACTAGATGGCCTGTATGGCCCCTTCCAACTCTGTGGATTCTGTAAGCGTCAGGAGGATGAGTAGGCAGCACGGAACAGAAGAATGAGATTGTAGGGGAGGCAAGCTGGGGCTGACTGGAGATATCTTCCCAACAGCCAGGAGCAGAGTGGAACAAAAGGGACATACCTGAGGTAGCTTGGAGGACCACACTGGAGGACAGAGCCCCCACTCCGTCCCATGGGGCTCTAACAGGAATGGCCTCAGAGAGAACAGGAAAACTGATCTGCCTCTGGGGAGGCACTTTCCCTTTTGCTATCCATTCTGTTGGATGAGTAAATTAGTAAAAAACCCAAAACCTCAGGAAGTAGAGCCTTAAAAAACTGGGTGTCTTGTATACTCCTTGAAGTAGCAGCAAGTCCAGTGTTACCTCTAAGCTGAGTTCGTGTGAGCTAGCTCACAGTTTCTTCGCCTCCGGCTCACAGATTTTTGTCTTCACTCAGGAAGGATGGCTCCAGAGCAAACTGATTTATGCAATAGCCAAATCACTCGCTCGCAACTTTAAGGCCGGTAGCTCTCAAAGTAGAATTTTTGCTCACAAGACTCCACAGCTTAGAGGGAGCATTTGTGTGTTTTGTGAAGTAAGAGTAACCTTTCTCGATTTGTCTTCCTCATCCAATGAGACTGGTTAATTAAAAAGTGTGGGATCTTCAGATGTGCCTGAACGTTTCCTGCTTAACACCACCTTATACATGTTTTGCTGAGGTATGGTTAAATAACTTTTTTTACTACTTTATTTCACTGTTAAAGGTTGGTGGTGTGGACCCAAAGCAGCTAGCTGTTTATGAAGAATTTGCACGCAATGTCCCTGGTTTCTTACCAACCAATGACTTAACTCAGCCTACAGGAATCCTGGCGCAGCCGATGAAGGTAGAAACTCAGTTGGTATCGTTCAAGCTGTTCTAAGGCTTTATGGTTTACTAGAATGCTGATATGAATTAGGCTGTCAAAGAGCTGTTCACAAGCAGTTGGAGCATTTCTAAAGTTCAGTGTTGGGTCTTTAAAGCAATGTTGATTAGTGGCACCATAAGGCATCATATCTTAAATTCTGTGAAAAGTTTGAATTATGATTAACCACACATAGTTTATTGATGACTGTATATCTAGTAGATGATGGGCAAGACAGGGTAGATAAAAAGTTGGTTTAAAACATTTAAAATGCCTTTTAAATTATGCTGAAAGTAAGAAATGTACAGTATATTTGTACAATAGTAAGCATTCAGTTAAATATTTAAGATGCTTGTAGCATACCTTCTTGAGGCATGCTTGATTTTCTTTTAAATCAATCTATTTTCATGGTTATAACAGCCGGTTAGCATGCAGATGTTTAGGAAGTATCTAAACAATACAATCAAAGGTTTGTTTTAAATCAGTGATTCTCAGTGCCGTCCTAAGCAGACATACACCCTTCCATTAACATCATTGGACTTATAATGGTGCGCCGCTGCTTACTACTGCTTCTTGTTTGTCTGTGCAGCAGCCAGACTGACTAATGTTCTTGTGCTTTCCCTAAATCAGCAAGCCTGGGCAACAGACGACGTAGCACAGATCTATGATAAATGCATGACAGAACTGGAACAGCACCTGCAGTCCGTCCCTCACACCCTGCCCATGAACCCGCAAACCCAAGCCTTACGAAGCCTCTTGGAGGCGGTGGTTGTGGCTCGTAACTCTCGTGATGCTATTGCAGCTCTTGGACTGCTCCAGAAGGTTTGTGTGTGAACTGTTGAGCCTTGTTGTTAATGTGCAGCTTGGGAGGAGGGTAGGGGGGCAGCAAAGTGTCCAAAAGCTGGTCATTTTCTGCTTCACGTCCTCTGTGGTGAGAAGCGTTCTGTGCTCATTTGCTTGACAAACCAGTAGGACTCATGATAATGCACAGGGACTGCACATGTGATCTAGATTGTTCAGGGGAGGAGGTCTTGCATGAAAGACAGTTATCTTTCGAACAGAAGCAAAGACCTGTCCAAAATGCTGTTTTGCTTCCCGTGAGATCAGAGTTCTGTCACAGTTTTTGATCTTGTGGGGAGAAGCTTGTGCATCCCTTAGTAGAGAATGTGCCATAGACATCTAATCTAATGATTTGTTCTCCGGGCCAGACAATTTTTATTCTTAACGTGCGTCCTCATGCTGTTCCTTCTGTAGGCGGTCGAGGGCCTGCTGGATGCTACTAGTGGTGCGGATGCTGATCTTCTTCTCCGCTATCGAGAGTGTCACTTGCTTGTTTTGAAAGCCTTGCAGGATGGCCGTGCTTATGGCTCTCCGTGGTGTAATAAGCAGATCACAAGGTCAGTGTTGACAAGCTAGGGGGAAAATAAAGCTTTGAAATCCATAGAAAGTTAACTGAAGATACTTTTATTTGGAAGAATGTACCAAACTGTGTAATACAGAAGGAAATATTTAAGTTCATAAAAAATCCAGCATCCTCACCATACTGAGGTGCATTGTCATTACGTTTAGAACCGAATTGTCATCTGGCAGGCTGGGGCGGGAGGCAGGACGAGTCTGCGGTCCTTGTGTCCACAGACTGCTGGGAGCAACCTCTTTCTTTTATCGAAACATTTCATTTGTTTTCAGAAATATTTCATAGGCTTTTTTAGGTGGCCCCCCAGAATTCTTTAATTTTTTTCCTGTTGGGGTAATTTTTTGAAAAGGTCCTTAGAGAAAACCCTTAAAAAAAACTCCAACAACCAGGCTTTCATATCTCTGTCCATACTCTGCTTCTTGGTTCTATATAAAGTTTGCAGTAGTAGTTCAGTGGTAGTGCTGAGTGCTTGAACTTGGCCCTACATGCAGAATGTTTGGAGAACTCATTAATGCCCCAGATCTATGTCTGCTCTGTTTGCTGAGAAGGAGGCCAGGTTAACATGAGAAAATGACTGATTTTTGCAGATGCCTGATTGAATGTAGAGATGAATATAAATACAATGTAGAGGCGGTAGAGCTGCTGATACGTAACCACCTAGTTAGCATGCAGCAGTACGATCTTCACTTGGCTCAGGTGAGATGCTGGCACTAACTTTTCATTAAGTTTCCCTGAAGGCAGTGAGGCAAAAGCAATTCACCCATCATGTATTTTCTTTTCTTTTCTTTGGGCAGTCGATGGAGAATGGCCTGAACTATATGGCTGTGGCATTTGCAATGCAGTTGGTAAAAATCCTCTTGGTGGATGAGAGAAGTGTAGCTCACATAACGGAAGCAGATCTGTTCCACACCATTGAAACTCTGATGAGGATTAATGCTCACTCCCGAGGAAATGCACCAGAAGGGTAATTTGAAATACTGTCCAGTGCTGCTCCTCCCTTGTAGAGTATGCTGAGTTTTCTCTGTAGAATCACACAGAGGCTCTTGTGTTCTGGTATTACTTTATTAGATTTTTTTCATCACCGTACACCCTAAGGGGCTCGTGACAACTTACAACATTAAAACCAGTAAGGTAAAACAACATAAAAGCAACAAACATAAAATATTAACATAAAATAATAAATTATTAAAATATGTATCACCATACTACTTTTAAAACAGCACAAACATGCGGATATGCATGCAGAATGCTAAACTGGAATTTTTTAGTATACTTTTGTATCTCTCTTTCCCCTTCCCCCTTTTCTGTACATAAACCAATAAAATTCTTAGAAAACAAAACAAAAAAGAAAGGCCAACCTAAACAATTCAGCCTTGCATGCCCTCTGGAAACAAAATGAGTCCGGCAAGGCACGGGTGTCATCGAGAGTGCATTCCACAAGTGAGAAAGTCCTTCCTCTGGCAACAGCTAACCGTCACCTTGGTGCCAGGCACCTGCAAGAGGCCCCTAGACCGTGACCAAAGGGGGGCAGGTTTGTAACAAGAGAAGTGGTCCCAGACCATTAAGGATTTTAAAGGTTAACACCAGCACCAATGCTGTTCCATAGCAACAATCTTTTGCATGTGGAGAAGACTGCATCAGGGAGAAAGCTCGAGTAGTTCTTCCTTGTGAACAAGTTTTCAGTTTTAAATATGTCTGGAGCTGAAAAACAGAAGCTGACTTGTTCTCAGTGGGGGAGACAAAAAATGGAAGAAAGCAAGCTCAGAGGTAGTAATATGGGGCCATGGTGAAAGCAGGTGCCCCCAAATTCAAATTAAAAGATTCTTGTACTAGAAAATCTGCAAGACAGGCTAAGTTACATGCTATGGCAGTGGTACTCAGAAGTATTGAATTCTGATCCCCTTCTAAACTTCCTTTTGGAAACCTCACTTCACACCCCTCCCTCAGTGTGCGTACCACACACGTTCAGCTGTTTAACTTACCATACTTGAAGGTAGTGATCAGCTGTTAGCTGATCACTTGGTCTGTTTGGATTGTATTGAGCAGCCCCAAATGCCCAGTGAACTGGTTTGCATTGGGTTTTTCCAGAAATGCACATGTGCAAGGATGCTGCCAATTCAAACTGAAGACTGTGTAGATGAACACCAAAGATGGGATTTTATTGAAATATAGCATTCATTGATGACTGATTTAATGATTGGTTTAATTGTCTGTTTAACCAGTTGCCTGCTCAGTAGAGCACTTAGGCAGCGAGGATGGCAGAGGGTAGTGGAATTCCGTCTGTGCATGAAAAGCAAATTGCTCTGTATTGCACAGTTAGTAAGGAAAACGAAACAATCTGGTAGGGGGTGTGGATATTGTAATGTCAGCTGGATCTGTGTACAAATACGAAGGGATATCAAGACGTGTGAGTGCGGCATCCTCCCCTATCTCTTGATTGGCAGCTGCTAACTGCTGGCCTACAGACCATCTGCTCCACTGGTCTGTGAAATCACTTGTGAGAGACAGTGTGGGGTGGTGACTGGGCTAGAACCTGGGAGACCCCGGGACCAGATCCCTCACACAGTCTTTCAGTCTAACATGTGCCAGTTTTTCAGCCTAACATGCATCACAGAGGTGGTTCTCAATATGAAATGGAGAGAGGAAACCGTGTATATGCAAATTTCCTTTTTTATTAACCTTAAATGAGACTGCCAAAAATAGTATGAAAAACAATAAAAGCAGATATTTATGATATTTATTTGTCCAATGATATTTGTTTGCTAATAATGTTTAGCTTCCCCGTCCACCCTGCCAGGAGCAGCACAATATGTATGAAAGAGACGCATGTGGCTCCCGAGCTAAAGTTTGGCCACCCCAGTGTACGCTAAGCCACTTGGAGAAAAAGAGAGGTTCCAGGTGATGCATATGTGAGAGAGCAAGAGAACATCTTCCCACAGCTCCAGCAGACTCCTTCCTGGAGTCTTCTACCTGCACCGCTGGGAAAGCAGCTTGGGAGCTAGGCCTTGGACTGTGGTCCATATGGTTCTCCAAATCATCTGAGAAACTGACTGTAATTATAAAGCTTATGGCAGTGTGGATAGCTTTTAGGACTTGGACAGAGGGGGCCTTGTTTAGCTATTATGCTTACTGGCGGCCCTTGGGCAAACCACTGATTCTTACTTGTAGGGGAGTTAATAGAGTAAACCTGGGCAATCCCCTCATGTGTATCTAGAGGATACAAGACTCGCTTGATCACGTTTCCACATCCGAACCATCAAAAACTCAGCTTCTGCATCCTGGCTCTCTTCTAGGTTACCGCAGCTGATGGAAGTGGTACGCTCCAACTATGAAGCCATGATTGACCGTGCTCACGGAGGGCCAAACTTTATGATGCATTCTGGAATCTCTCAAGCTTCTGAGTATGATGATCCCCCTGGCCTGAGGGAGAAGGCAGAATACCTGCTGAGGGAATGGGTCAATCTCTACCACTCTGCGGCAGCTGGTCGTGACAGTACCAAAGCATTCTCTGCGTTTGTTGGACAGGTAGAGCTTTTGGAAAGAAAGGTGCTTTTTATTCGACATTAGGGCGTAAAGCCCTTTGATCAAGTATGGTGTTGTGTAGCTGCGAGTCCCCCAAGCTTTCCTGTTCACAACCTGTCATCCCTATGTGCACATACCTAGTAGATCTGGAATATCATGTTTCTGTTAGATGTGTGATGTTTGCTTGCATAATTGGGGGGGGGGGTCCCGAACTAATGAGTCATCCTCTGCCAATATGCTTCAGTCATTTAATGTCCCCTGCTCAAAAGAATTGCACATGGGGAGAGATTCCTTTGCAGCTAAGGCAGCATTTAAAGGGTCCTTGCAATCCTCTGTGAATAAGGTTCCAGTTCAGTTTCATCAACTAGCAAACAGGTCCCATTCCAAGTGTCCTTTTAATATCACGTGGTCTCAAAGGATCTCCTCTTTAGCTCAGTAACACATAATCACAGATACCCTGCACGGCCTCATTCTTGGTTGGTGGTTGGTGCACCACAGGATGTCATTAAGGACAGGAAAATCCTTACCAATATTCCAAATCATTTTTTTAATAGGCTGGAATCATAGTCATATCCTTTTGTTTCAATGTATCGATGGAGTGAAGTTTACTGCCACACAACAGGATTGAAACAGAAAGGCTCTGTAGTTCTGTGTTGGGATAGTAGGGCATCCTGTATACTGAGTGTTCATCTCCAGTAGGCAGAGCCATGAACATTCTTTCAAAGACACCAGGTTCCCATGTGATGGTAGCTGCTGTTGCTTCATTTTATCGCAGAAGCCCAAAGTTTATGAAACAGTCAAGAAGTAGCAGCCAAGGGTTAAATTCCCTCAAGGGGGCAGTGATTTCCTTATCCTTTGGACTTGGTATAACTAGATGTCCAAAGCCTCTTTGGTTCTCATGTGATGGTAGGGCTCCTGGCCTTCTAGCTGCTGTTGCCTCAGTTTATCACAGAACCCCAAAGTTTATGAAGCAGTCAAGAAGTAGCAGCCAAGATATAAAATCTCTCAAGGGGGCAGAGATCTATCCTATGGGCTTGTGGAACCTCATCCAAACCCTCCCCACACACATAGAGCTGAGCAGTACAGCTGTCTGGGGGAGGGGTTGAACCCAAGTTGGCCAACACCATAGCTGCACATCTTGGGATAGGAGAAATTGGTTTGTCCAGGTGCCCAGCACAAGAGTGTCAGCTCTCCTATTGCATTATCTGCCATCCTTCCCAGAATTGCACCTCAGAGGGTCATCACCTTGAACTGTACAGACCCCATCTGGACTCCCTGCAGTTTTCTGCTAAAGCCATGGCTTATAGAAATACCTGACTCATGAACTAGCAGGTGGACCTTGGGCCAAGAACTCACCTTGCCTGTCTGTCCTTCACAGATTCCAAGCTCTTTGGAGAACTTGTGCAACCAAAGGCCCTAGTTACCCTGACTAAAAGATATACAGCCATAACTTAGGCCTAGAGATCTCTGAAGCTGCCAGCCTAGATGGCAGTCTCTAAGGCAGCTGGCAGGCACATTTCCTCCTTCAGAATGTCTCTTCCTGCCCCAGAGGGGGAACAAAATGTAATGCCAGGCCATAAAGCCCTGCCAGGATAGGGGACTGTCTCCTGTACCTTATCAGGCTCGGGGAAGGAAAGGTCAGTGTCTGCCAGTTTTTTGTTTATGCTCACATCCAACCAGAACATGATTCTGTAGTTACAGTTTCACACAAGCCATTCTAGAAATTGCTTCTTCCCTAAATAGCTTATAGGTGACACAAACTGATTCTCCTGTCAGCCAGAACACATGAGGATCTGCAGTAGGTAGCTGGAGCAAGGCCAGCTGTCCATCCCCTCTCAAGGAACCAGCTCCTATTCTGATAATATTTTTCCTAGCTGAGTCCTGGGGGGGTTTGGTCCCAATCTGAATAGAAGCTGGACCATCTGGAGCTCCGAGCAATATGCCTAATATTTCTGTCTTTCCCAGGCTAGATTAAGAACAGTGGTGTGTTCAGCAACATACCTGCACAGGCCAATGGGGCTAAAGGGTCTTTTTCACAGGGAGGAAACCACAAGAAACCCGGTATGGGCAAAGAGGCTAGACACACAGTCCTCTCCTAAATACCCTTCCTTAATAGAATATGTTCAGCCCTTTACTCAGGAAACTGTGCTTGGGGCCACAGAGTAGTCAGGACTTGAACAGAAGTGGAGGAAACTTGGGCTTAGTCCAATTAGGCAGAGCCTAGAGTTCACTTTTGAGCTTAGTTTGTGATAATGATAGCAAAAAGAAAATGGGAGATACTAAGGCTTCCGCTGTCCAGAAAAACTGATCCAAGTGGTACAGGACTTGCTTTTATCTTAAGCCTCCCTGTGTGACACCAGTAAACCTCTAACAGGCTGCTCCGGTTTACCTGCCAAGTGTTTATGCATAACATTACGTGCATCTGCTATAACTTGGATGCCACTTTAATTATGTGAGGCTCCCAAGGAGCAGGTGGAGAAGTGGGGCATGCCTCTTGACTTCTAATTTCTTGCCCTTTATGCCTCTGACGGCCCAGGAATGGTGACTAGCTTTGTGCAAGAGATGATAAATACGTCATTATGAGAGGTGGTGGTTGTATTGCTCCTAAAGAAGTTTTCCTTTGGACTGAGATTATTGTTTCCGCTATCAGCCAATGGGGGGCAATATGCTGAAGTGAATGGAGGCAGCTCAACTCCAGACACATCTAGAAAATGCTGATGTTGTAGCTCCGGTTTCTAATCCAGAGCTGGCATAAATTTCTTTGGTTGCTCTGGCTGATAGTTTTCCCTGGGAAATGGGACTGGAGTGCATTCCTGTGGATTTTCCCGGGTCTTTTGGCAGGTTGGGTAGCATTCAATTAATACCACTTCGGCCTGGCTACTTAGGTTGAAAGTGGGAGGTGCATTCTCTTGTAGGAAATAATCTACATGGGAGGAGGGACTTCATTGCTCTGCTCCATGGCATTCATGTTATGGGGTGCAGAATGGTATTTTGTTCACTGTGTTGTTTAACAGTAGACATGAAACCATTTGAAGAGGTTACTAGAGACCCAGAGTAAAGTGTAGTCAATATGCAGGTTAAATCATGGTCTCCTCTTCCTTTTTATGTAGCCCATATATTGTAGTCTCTGTAACAAGCTGTGGTGTTGGAAAGTGCCATCAAGTCACAGCTGGTTTATGGTGACCCCATACGGTTTTCAAGGCAAGAGACGTTCAGAGGTGGCTTGCCATTGCCAGCTTCCACATCACAACTCTGGTATTCCTTGGAGGTCTCCCCTCCAAATACTAGCCGGGGCTGACCCTGCTTAGCTTCCGAGATCTGATGAGATCAGGCTAGCCTGGGTTATCCAGGTCCAGACATGTAATAAGTTAGCTGAGAGCTAACAAGCAAACTTAATCTAGCTGTGATAATAAGTGGTTCAGCCTGCAAAGATGGTGCCAAATTGGTTCTGGATGGGTCTGCACTCTCCCTTAAGAGTGGGAGATGACATTAGATAGTTGGCCTCTGTGACTTAAAGTGCCTTCAGCTAGCTTGGGCTGAATAGAGAAAACTTTGCCCTATGCTCTAGTAACACTTGGATTAGTCTGTTCTGATGTGCTGTATGTGGAGCTGTCCTTAAACAGTCTTCATCTGGTTCAGAATATAGGAGCCAGGTTGTTTTCCAGGATTTGTCATCTTTCACAAAATAAAATATCTCCACTGTCTTCCACTTCGCCTGTCAGTACAGCTCCTAGTTTTGAGCGGCAAAGCACCCTTGAAATATGGAGCAGGTTCATATGGAAGAAGAACAGCTTTTTATATACCTTGGCCTTAAACGGCTTATCTCTCATATGAACCTGCCTTATTCTTCCAAGTGTACCTTGAACACTCTGTTACAGATACGTCCACATTCTTGCTAGACTGTATTATGGCAATGCTGCATTCCAGGATTGGATGAGTGGCTTTATGATCACCTACCTCTATGCCTCAGCGTTGTAGTGCTAGACTTGTAGTATGTACTGCTGGGGTTCAGGGTTTAGGTCTATGCAAGCAAGAAGGTACTCATCTAGCCCTGAGCAGCACAATGCAGAAATATGGGGGGAGTATTTTTTTACCTTTACTCCCCTGTACTGTTGTATGGGAGAGGGGGTGAGAGATATTAGGGTTGTGGGTCATATGCCTCTCAACTTCCATTCTCCATTCCTAATATCCTTCATCAAGAATAACCTGCCCTTAATGCAGCTACATGGGATCAAAAGAAATGCTTTTGAGTATCAATTTAAAGAAATAATTTTTTAAAAAAAAAATGCTTTTGCTACAATTCTGTTTAATCCTCTGTCAAGATTTTTTGAACTTCATAGTGGTCAGAGCTTGTAAAACAGCATTCTGGAGGGAGGAGAAATTAGGGCTGTGGGATGTGTGTCTCATGATACACAACCCCCAGCTCTGATAGTCACTCTCTCTCACGCAATGATACAAACTCAATGGAGAGGGCTCAGTTACTCTTTTGTGTCATTGGAATTTCCACTGAATATGCTGAAATCCCAACCTTTGCCTTATTACCCTAATCATAGGCACAGGACCACCAAGTAGGCCATTAAGTGTAAGATATTTTTGATTAATGTGATGCTGTACTTATTGGTTTCAATGGCTGAAAGGCTAAATGGAGGGTTTTTTTACTAGAGAAATGGGATACAAATATGTCAACATGAAAAACTGCTTTAAAAGATCTATAGCACTAACAAGCTCTATACATCATATATCTAGTACAGAGCCCAACATGTTTGTCAAGTTTCCTGTCAGCAGGTGATAAGAGAAGGGTCGCCTCTTATGATTTCACCTAAATGCACTAAAGTTCTTGGTGGATACATGTGGGATGTTTAACAGAGCCCTCGGTGGATTCACAGCATGCAAACAGGAATGCGGAGGCTGCTCTGGGCTGGTGGCATGAAGTGAGTCTTCACTCTTCTGGTGACTTTTTGTTCCCTCCTTGAAAACCAGCAGAATTGCTGGATAGCCTCTGGGCAACATCATTTCAAACATCCTCCAGCGTTTCTGTTTGCATTTGAATCAGCCAAATTCAGTCCCTCTCTGCTGTGTTGAAATGTTTGTATAAAAGCTCTGTATAACTGTAGACTTGTGTATTAAAACAAGCATTGACTTGTTTTATTGGTTCTAGAAGCCAGCTCATAAATTTAGGAGATAGTCATAGTTCAGCCTTCAGGATTGTCTATGTTTATATTTTCTAACTATTGCCAACACAAAAAAATACTAGGCGCCACAATGAAATTTCTAGGCACCATGGTGGCCTGGCACCTGGGATTTTGTCAAGCCCTGTATTAAAATAGAATATCTAAAAATGCTGACCAATTGCTAATATGGATAACCAACATCAGTTGACACAAATATTCAGAAAGGCACAGTGTTTGTCTCCACTAAGGAGACAAACATTGGAAACTTATTCTTTAAAATGTGAGATTCCTCTGACTAGTTTGTGTGTTAAAGTTTGCAGTCAGAAAAAACTGGGAATTTAATGCATGAGAATTAATTGCTCAAGTTCCTTCTCCCTTTAGGGATTTTGAGGGAAATGCTAGTTGTAAAAGCTATTCCTTTCTGCTTTAAGAAACAAAATTACACTTGCCTTCATGTTATTAGAGAAGTCTAACAACCCTTCCTTTTTCATAGAAGTGTTATGATGGGCACATGTATGCCTTGGCCATTACAGAGAGAGACTCTGGAGTACAAGACATGATATGTTGTGAAGATTATAACAAAATACTGCATTGCATGTGAACAGTAGATGAGGTTGCCAGGAAAATAATTTACAGTCACTATGTCTATGTTCTGCTTTGAGTGAAAACACAACCTGTTTCACCAGAAGACTTGTCATACTGATGCTAAAATTCCCTAGTGCAGCACAGGACGTAAAGCTGGGGTGTCAAACATATGGCCCGTAGGCCAGAACTGGCCCATCCAGGGCTCTTATCCAGCCCATGGATAACTGCTCATTACCTCTATTGCCATATGACAGAGGCTGTCCTTGTATGCTGTCCCCGTGCTAATGAGTAATGGGCAGTGGAAGTGGGAGGGCAGGCATTAGGGAGATACTGTAAGGAAATACTGTAAGAGTGTTAATGTTTTAAGCATGTCTGTACTTTGTGTAAAAAATAATACTGTTAATTGGGTTTGTCTGTGTCCTTTATAAAGTTTATATCTCTGGTACCTGGCATTATATTTCATGGCACACATGGCCCGGCCCGAGAAAGTGACATTTGTGTCAGATCCGGCCCTCGTAACAAATGAGTTTGACACCTCCGGCTTAAAGCTTCATGGTGGAAAATTTGGTTGTGTTGCAAGTGTAACAGAGGGACAACTTGTACGTTGCTGCTGTGAAGCGAAAGCTGTTTCCTCATAGTCTGACCCCATGCTGTGTGGAGTGCTACAGAATGCTTTCATGCCAGCATTGCTATCTTTCCACATGGCTTCTGTACTCAGATGATATCAGTGTGATGTGAGGCCTGGCTATGAGGAAGGGCTTCCATGCTGCAATGGTAAGTGCAGGGCTTGGCCTGAAGAGGCATCGACAAAAAACCTTATCCTTCTGCAGAATTGCGATGTTGAAATTCATGCCACTGATTTTTTCAGTTTATGTATTTGGAATAGTGCTAGCTTTTTTGGACCAAAGAGAAATCCTGCAGATCTGAATCTATCTTTGTCCCCATAACAGATGCATCAGCAAGGAATCCTGAAGACCGACGACTTGATCACACGGTTCTTTCGCCTTTGCACAGAAATGTGTGTGGAAATCAGCTACCGTGCTCAAGCAGAGCAGCAGCACAACCCTGCTGCAAATCCCACCATGATTCGTGCCAAGTGTTACCACAATTTGGATGCCTTTGTGCGCCTTATTGCACTGCTGGTGAAGCATTCTGGGGAGGCTGCCAACACTGTTACCAAGATCAATTTGCTCAACAAGGTCAGAGGACTCCCTTTCTCTTCAGTACTCGTTTGCTTTCATCTGTTTGGCAGGTTGGGAGTGGGTGCTGCACTTCAGAGGGGGGCCTTGAGCCGTATGCAATAGGACCTAGTTCCAAACAAACACGTGTGGGAAACATTTTGAGGGCAACATTTTGGGGCCTGGTCTTAGGCGCCTTTGCGAAGACGGCACACCATGGAGTTTTTGATTATACTTGCACAGATTTTGCAACTCGTCTGACAGTAATTATCTGCCGTGAGTCATAATCAGAGATGTGAAGGCCTGGGGAGGGGGGTGGAAAAACTAGGGAGAGGAAGGGAATACTTTCCTCCCTTGCTTTTTTTTCCTCTCCCAAGACTTTTTTTGCCTGACTTTTCCCTTTTTGAAAATCAGAAATTTGGCAAGCACTGGGAGGGGAAAGGCCTCCTGTGAAACATTTTCTTTTGGAATAAGTAAAATACTTTTTAATTTACTCAGATAAAATTGCTTTACATAAAAATCTGCAGCATTAGATAGTGTGAGTTAGATGTGACTAACTTTGTTATTAATTTGGTAATCACTAATGAAGACTTCAGTGTCTTTAGTGTTACGAATTTCAAATCGATAACCAGATATACTTAGTCCTCCTGTAACTGTATAGGCTAAATAATGCACTTTATTTTGTTTGCTACATTGGTGGTTTGTTTTCCAATTTTATTCTGTCCTCTTAGATGGCAAAAACTAAGATACCCGAGTTAATGAAACAGAGGCTGCAGCAGTTCACAGTGCACGTTCCCCCCCATTGAGTTTTGTTGAAAACTAAGGCTTTTATGCCCTTAAATTACATAAATATAAAAAGCTTATATTAAAAACCCAATCTCTATTCATAGTCAGCTGTTTTAATAAAACTTCTATTGGTTCCTCTCTGTAGGTTCTTGGAATAGTGGTGGGTGTCCTATTGCAGGATCATGATGTTCGTCAGAGTGAATTTCAGCAGCTCCCCTACCACCGCATTTTCATCATGCTGCTGTTGGAATTAAATGCCCCTGAACATGTCCTGGAAACAATTAATTTTCAGACTCTCACAGCATTCTGGTAGGTCATATTGAATTTCTGTTGGCTCTACTCTTAAGCTGTGTTTTGTTTTATTCTGCCTAACCTCAAATGTGTGGGCATAGTAAGAGAACCATCCTCTGTTTTCAGAATAACTTTTAATGCTGATTAGGTAGTATTATGGAGTATGTGAAATTCTGTCCTGAAGGAGTTTTTTGAGAGCCAGGGTTCCAAAGGAAATGCCAGGTCTCTCTTGGGTATCCAGAGGACAGTTTTTACGGTTGTGAAGCATTCTGCAGGCTCCCCTTTTTTACCTGGCTGGGGAACTTCACCTGGCTAGTAAAGGCCTCCACTTGCAAAAACTCAGCAAGGGCACCAGCATTATTCCTCCCTCCCCAACAGAAATAGCTTTTTAACCAGCTGTCAGCAAGAGCAAACAAATATGGATAGTTCTTGCCTGCCTGCCAACCCAAAGCCTCTCTTTGAGGTCCCTGAGAACAAAAATTGTTGCTTCCTCACCTTGTAATTAAGATCACTGATTACAGTAAAGGGGGAAGAAAAGAGGAAGAAACATTTACCAATCAAGGCAAAGGTGAAATTGCAGAGAAATTGTGTGTTGGGAAAAAATTAGAGATGATTCTAGCTTCTGGGACTCTTATTTCATCTACATGAAGGCAGAGATGTGAAGGCTATTTTTTCCATCCGTGATAGAGATAATTGATGAGAATAATGTACTGGCAAAGCATGGAGGGTTGGGTTGAACTAATGATTCTGATCTGAGAGTAAGTGGAGAACGTAAACGTATCAGGAGAGACTCAGAAGAATTGTTATGGTGATGGGATATTGTCTAAAACAAAAATAGGGGTACCAAGGAATTAGCAACCATAGAGAGAAGAGGCCAGCATCTCTGCCCAAGCCTGCTTCACTAGCTACTTACATTGCCTTTTCACACTTCTGTGGGTGACAGTGCAGCCAAGAAACTTACTTTAATTCTCATTTTAAAAAATAAATAATTAAGACTGCTTTCAATTGTAACATGCCTCATCACTGTATCTAGTAGTAAAAGGACTGGTCCTTTGAGCCAGTCACAGAAGCAGTGAAACTAGGTTTGTGCAACAAAGTAGGACAGGAGTACTTCCCAGGTGTGTCAAAAATACATTAACTAAAAGCAAAATAGCCTAGCGAAATAACTGGCCTGGTGAGGTTGGAGCATGCTCCAGGAGCATGGAGTTTTGAGAGCAGCTGTGAGCAGTGTTCCCTCTAAGCTGAGTTAGTGTGAGCTAGCTCACAGTTTTTTAGCCTCTGGCTCACAGATTTTTGTCTTAGCTCAGGAAGGATGGCTCCAGAGCAAACTAATGTATGCAGCAGGCAAATCGCTTGCTTATAACTTTGATGCCTGTAGCTCACAAAGTAAAATTTTTGCTCATAAGACTCCACAGCTTAGAGGGAACATTGGCTGTGAGTGTGACAATACAGCTTAGTGTACATTCTCCCCTTATGTTATCCAAACTCTGACATAAAACTTGTATTATGTGCTCTTTTCTCTTTTAGTAACACATTTCACATCCTGAGACCCACAAAAGCTCCAGGTTTTGTTTATGCCTGGTTAGAATTGATCTCCCACCGGATATTTATTGCAAGAATGCTGGCACATACACCACAGCAGAAGGTGTGGCTGCAGTTTATCTTCTGTAATTTATGAAGCTTCCTCAGGGAATAAGGATGCATCTTGGTTTCCAGGTTTTGTTTAACTAGAATGATTTTATGCCATTTAATTATTATTATTTTATATGTCTGCTGTTGAAGTACAAATGTTCATTTGTTTTCCTGTATTTTCACTGTGTAACTGGAAACTGCAGATGGTTTATTTTAGTAGATTGCCCAAATGAGTATAGAAACATTTTTTAATTTAAAGTTTTTTATTGTTTTAAACATCATTTTTAACAAAATAATCATAACATATTACATTTAGTTTCTTCAACTCTAATATCTGTAACATAAAAATGGATCTTACGAGCGTGAGTAATCTGAAAACAATTGACAGTAAACATGTTATTTAGTGTAAACATGAAATACACTGTGTTTTGTGAATATAGATATAGTACAAGTAAAGCAGTTTTCAACTGAAAAATATTTTTTACATTTTAACTTGTAATGTGGCTTGCTGACAGAAAGAAAAAGTATGCAATTTAAAATAATTATCAGCTCTAAACAAACAATACATCAAATCCATTTATCAAATTTGGACCACTCAGAGGAAATAAATTGCTGCTTAGATAGAAAGTCCAACACCGGGTACCACTTCCCAACAAACCGCTCTTGCATTGAATTTTGATTTGTAACCTCCAATTTATTTGTAATTGCATCCATAAGATAATGGTTCCACAGTTTTTGATACCAAACTTCAGTCGTTTGTTTCCTGGTGTCCTTCCAAAAATTGGCTATTGTAGTTTTGGCAGCATCCAGCATAACCTCAATAGTAGCTTTGTGTGGCCTTTCTACTAATTCAGATGGCCATGTGTTTAAAAAAAGAATTTCAGGTATGCGTGGTATTTTTACCGTGGTGATTCCTTCTATGATCTCTATAATCTCTTTCCAGAATGCATTTATTTTAATGCAGCCCCACCAACAGTGGGCAAAGTCCACCACTTGTTTACATCCTTTCCAGAAATTCTGGGAGGATGTTGAATTTATTTGTGAAATTTTCTGAGGGGTTGCGCACCACCTTGTCATAAGTTTTAAATTTTGAAATCTAATGGCCATAGAGGTAGTAGAGAAGCAAGTAGATCTCCAAAAATTATTCTACACTTCTTCAGTCTTCACTGCACAGTCTTCCTGCCATGCGATCTGATACGATAAGTTAGGTGCACAAGAGTTTTGATTCAGTATTGAATAAACCCTGGAGATCTTATCTGAATAACATCTAAAGAGGTAATCAAGTGACTCAATTGTAAGTAGAGAAACCAGGGAATCTTTTGTCCTAAATCCTGTTCTAATACTGCCTTACTCTTTATTCCTTGTTTATTGGCTATGTCTACTATACGAGATATATTGTTACTTTTCCAGCATTTTATTAGATTAGGGTCAATGCCAGGGATGAACCAACTTTGATTAAGAAATAATGAGTATCTAGACTTTTTGGGTAGAAATTTTGGAGTGTGTTTTTTCCAGCATTGCACAGCCGGGTAGATTACTGATATTTTGTCCTTTGATGTAGGGGAGACGTGTTTATTAGCCCACACTGTATCCGCTAGAGAATTTGGGAACAACAAATCATCACAAATTTCTACCCAATCTGGTTTTTTATTGGTTCTGAACATTTTTAGTGTAATGGCCATTAAAATTGCTCTATTATATAACAACAGGTCTAGAAATGCAAAACCTCCCATTGATCTTGGCCTATGAGTATAGAAACATGACTAAACTGGGAAACCTTTTTAGATTTTCAGATGAATCTTGAGCAGTCTACAAGGCTGCAAATTTCCGATTGCTTACGACAATCCCTTTAGCCAAAGTGTGCTGTGTGCCTTGGCAACCTTTGCATAGTCAATCAAGTAAAGCTGACTTATTAGTCTGTTTCTCCAAGCCCAGAATGTGATAGAGATGGTTTAGCCCATAAGGCATGCTCTGTGCAAGCCCAAGGAGATTGCATATTCCACACAGCTTCTAGTTAATTATAAGAGATTAAATTTGAGGAGTTCTACCTGACTACTGGAATATAATACAAATGCTTGCTTCTACCTCACTGATGTTAGATGGGAGCTAGGCTAGATATTATAAGGATTGCCTGCAGAGATCTTACAGCTGTTCTCGTGATTTATTTGTAGGGCTGGCCAATGTATGCCCAACTGCTGATCGACCTATTTAAATACTTGGCACCTTTCCTGAGGAATGTGGAGCTTGCCAAACCTATGCAAATTCTCTACAAGGTAAATGTTTGCTGTCATACAAAAATGGTGATCTGAAAGAATGGTTTGGAGGTGGGGCAGTTAGAGCAGAACAGAACTGATTGGGATTGCTGGCTAATTTCTCTGCTAAAACTGACAAATATGTTAAGGATCTTCGTCGTGGTCTCTGTGCTTCACACCAATGGGATCTAGTGTGCACACACTGGATCGATTGGTGCTGTAGCAAGCTCTTTTAATGGATTTTCGCGCCTGCCCCCCCCCCCTCGGGCATGCGCAGGAATCCCACCGTGCATGCCCAGAGGGGGTGGGCGCGGACATCCTGCCAGTTCCTTTCTTACCACCGCATTGGAAAGACCTTTTTTCCTTCTCGGTCTGATCGGATCGCTGTTAGCCTCGCTTATAGCTTCGTCTCATAGCTCTTTAGAGTTATTTTTCTAACTTGTTTTTCGCTTTCGGTTTGTTTTAAGTTGTTTCTTTTTAAAAAACCACTTTATTTTCTCTGAGGGGAATTTACCAGATGACCACTCGAAGATCAACAGTTACTGATAAGCAACCTGCTTATCTTTGTCGTGGTCTCTGTGCAGTCCCCACACATGGGTTGGGCTCCTGTGCACGACCTCACTGGAGAAACTTCCAGAGCTTGCCTCAGAATCGTTTTGGTGGGCTCTCTTCCCACATTGGGGGGCAGGCATGCACTGCGCATACCTGGAGCGGGGGAGAGAGCCGCCTCCCACTCAGTTCTTCTTCGACCACCCTTGCGTTCACACCTCTCCTGCCTCTGTGCTCCCCTCAGCTAAGTTTTTCCCCAGATTCCCTTGTTCCTCGTTCTCTGCTTTCTTCTTTGTTTTTGGTCTATCTTAGTCTTAAAAAAAGAAAAAGAATTTTCCTGTCAGCTTTTCCTTTCCTGGTTGGGGAGGTGTGTGTATGGGCCGTATGCTATTTTTCAAAGTTTGTTGCTGCTGCCCTGCTAAGCTCCCTTCTAATGATGGACACAATTTGCGTCTTCTCTGCCTTGGGGGACTTCACCGCGTAGAAGGTTGCCTCCATTGTGCAAAATTTACCAAGCAGGCCCGACGTAACCTAGCTGCTCCTCTAAAGGCGATACTTCTTGAGGCTGCGCTTTGCCTTACCATGTCCTCTGCAGCTTCTCATTCTTCATCTGCCCCACAAAAGACATCTAATTCAGGGACTCCTCAGAAGGCTGCTAAAAAATCTCATAAGACTAAGAAACCTGATGGTACTGAGCCCTCGACCTTGAAGGCGAAAGCATCTACTTCGACTCGGCGCCTAAACTCGACCCTGTAATAATCTCTGGCCTGTTGACCTCCACCGTGGTGGTTGGCCCTTAGGCTACGGTCCCTCACAAGTCTGCAGACAGACCTCCTAGCCTCACTCTGGTACTATCTACCCAGACCAATCATGTCACGCTGGGCCAGCATGCTGCGTCCTCACCAGTTTGGTGTAGTGGTTAAGTGTGCGGACTCTAATCTGGGAGAACCTGGTTTGATTCCCCACTCCTCCACTTGCACCTCTTGATGTGACCTTGGGTCAGTCACAAGCTCTGGCACAGCTGTTCCTGAAAGAGCAGTTTGTGTCAGAGTTGTTAGCCGAACTGCTTTAACTACAACAGCTGGCAAACTAAATTTATATGGGTTCCTGCCTTTATATACTGAAGTCCAATCCACTCCCAAGATTTTTACCAGTGAGAGAGATGAGACTGGTGTGTTCCAAAACAATTTGTCTTTTACTTAAGAATATATAAAATCACATACACACAAAATCAGATTCACACATACAATCAATCAAGTTCCTCAGAAATACAGAATTATAATAGTCACTATAGAAATCACAGGTAGGGCAGTGGGTTGCAATACTTATCTGTCCTGAAGCTTGTCCGTCTCAATGAAGAATAGAGGGGTCCGAAAATATATGCTAGGGAGATTTAACACACAGCTAGAAACCAGCCAGCATGTGTGGACCTCGTGGCTGCAGACCAAGAGATCAAGTAGGAACAAAGGATTTTTGTATAGGAAGCTGGACTTGAGAGGGGTTTCAAGCAGACAGAGGGTGTAGGTGGGGGTAGGCGGCTAGCAAACGCTAAGCAGCTGGACCTCACCTTTTATAGGTGAATCCTTTAGCGGGTGGCATCTATGCCAATCTGTAAACCCACCTACCTGTAAGTCCATCCCAAAACTAACCTCATTGGTGCGTGTAGTAAGGGGTTGACACCTAAAGGGTTTGGCCAATATTGAAACTCTAGACTCTAACTCAAGAGAGGGCATCTGGTGAGGTGTGAAAGCTTGGTGCTAGGATGGCCATTGAAGTGCAGATGAATCTTGCCCGTTCCCAGGTAATCAAACCCCATCTGACAGGAAATGGCCATTCAGATGTAGAACAGAAATGTGTATACGTGTGCTTTCAACAGTTCATCAATGGAGGCTGATTTCAAACAAGTTGTTGTTTGGCTG